CTGGGCCCCCCCCCCCACAGCCCTCTCTGTTGCTCACCATGGACCAGACCCTGGACTCTCACCACAACACATTCAGCCCAGAGTCAGCCTTTGCTTCAAAGCCTTAGAATGAGGTCAGAGATCAAATTTTAGCACGCCTCAGCAGGGACAAAGGTCCTGCACGGGGGATGCTGTTTTATTCAGCATATCTCTGATTTATTTGTTTATCTCTGATTAGGATCTGACTTGCTTATTCTAGAGATGGCTGAGCTGGGGAGCACCAGGGATGGGGCTGTGTGGGGGAGGGGAGCACCCTTCCCTGTCGGGGGGCCCCTGGGGCCCTCAGTGACCATCTCCTCAGGCACAGCAGCCCTCCTTGCACCCCCGTGTCTACGTGCCTGCTCGCTGACCACTTCTGGAGTCATATTCGGGACGAGTCGGATGGAGAACTTGCCGACCACCTTGCGTGGAATCACGGTCTTGGCCCCTGACCCGGAGAAGGCACCTTCGATGCCATGGAGAGACAGGGATGGGTAACGCCATCTGTGCATCAGGATGTCCTTCTGCAGAGAGACAGCCAGCAGTCAGGGGTCAGCACCACGGGTCAGGGGTCAGCACTGCGTATCAGGGGTCAGCACTGCGGGTCAGGGGTCAGCACCATCGGTCAGGGGTCAGGACCGTGGGTCGGCAGTTAGCACCGGCTGGTCAGGCGTCCCCACTGGCTTGTCAGGGGTCCCCATTGTGGGTTGGGGGATTCCCCACTGTGACTTGGGGGTCAGCACCAGCTTGTTAGGGGTCAGCAATGCCAACAGCAGTCAGCACTGTGGGTCAGGGTCATCACCAGCTGCTCGCGGGGGAGACCAGGCGGCTGGGGGACCGCATGCCCAGAGGGAGGCGGCACTGATCCAGCAGGGCCACTAGGCGAGCTGGCCCCCAAGGTGGCTGGCGAGCTCCTCTTGCTTCCCCAGAGCCTGCGGCTGCAGGTACTTAGAACTGAAATTTATATCCAGACCTGATTCTCCCAACAGGTAAGTAAACATTCTGTGCAATCAGTCTCCACCTTGGCACCTGGCTCTCTGGGGAACAGTGAGACACCCCTGGGCAGATGGGCAATTTCCTGGCGTGTGTGAACCAGGAGAAGCTCCCCCTCTGCAGGCGGCCTGGTCCCCGGGGTGTCACAGGCGGTCCCTGACATGTTAGGGAGCTCCCAGCTCCCAGCCTGGCGCGTGTTGCCCGCTGACATCGGCAGCATCTGGCACTCACGTGACCGGGGTATGCCCAGGTCTGTCCAGCCTGCAGCCCCCTCCCCGGGGCCCCAGGGCTGCGCGCAGTGCAAGCTGGCAGGCGGGGGGCACCTTGCAGCCATGCAGGAGGGTCCTGGCGCCCACGTCCCGGGTATACTCCTCCAGGTCAAAGTCAATCTTATCGTAGAGCTCCAGCTCCTCCTCGGTCACCGGGGCCACGGCCTCACTGATGCCAGGGATGAGGATCTTCCCCTTCTTGTCCATCAGGCAGCCTGGGTGGTGGGCGAGTGGGGGTGAGTGGAAGCACCTGTGCCGCCTGTCATCCATTACCGTGACAACCCGGGAGGGCGTGGGGCCGCCTCCCTTTAAGGTAAAGAGACGGCCGCAGAGACGGCAGGGGAACTACCCGCAGTCACAGGGCAGGACACACACAGAGCAAACTGGCTCCTGCCGGCCTGCCCACCGTCAGGCCTGTGTTTCCTTTCTGATGCCCCTTCCCTAAGAAGCCACCTACTCCCAAGCTGAGGAGGGAAAACCCAGTGAGACAGAGCGCACTCCAGGCCCAGGAAAGTCGGCTCCATGTATGACACACGCCGCCCACAGGGGAGGAAAACGTGACTCAGCACACCCTGGGTGAGGCCAGGCGCCCAGTGGGGCGGAGAGCGAGCCTCACAGGAGATCCGCCATGGCCAATGACAGCCAACTGGACCAGAGCAACCCCCTGCAGGAAGGGGAGACACCACTGTGTCCAGGGCAAGGATGGCCGTGATTCTAGAGACCCGAGGCGGGGTCTGATGGCCGGGGGACGGGGGTGGGGAGGGAAGGGGAGGCAGACATGAACCACGTGGGCCTGTTAGAGGGAGCATCCAGGGAGGGGGGGAGAGAAGACCCCCGGATCGCTGCAGGGGCCCACTCGTGCTCACCCATCAGCATGATGAGGTCGGTCATGGCCTCATGCACAGAGCCGCCATACACGCCGGAGTGCAGGTCCCTGTCGCTGCACTCCACCTGTGGACACACGGGCCACTCTGCGGGCTGCTCTCTGGAGCTCGCCCTCACCCTCCGGTGGGAGAGCCGGCAGAGGAGGCTCACACGGCACGTTCAGAAATCAAAGTCTGCTGCCCCCCAGGCCCGGTCAGGCGCTCCCTAAATCACAAGGCTCTGGCCGCAACCAGAGACCCTCCTGGGGGAGGAACGGCCCCTGCGCACCTCGATGAAGAAGTAGCAGATGCCCCGCAGCCCGTAGGTGATGCAGGGCTTGTTTTTGCCCAGCCAGTAGTTGTCGGAGATGCACACGTAGTCCACATCCTTGAAGAACGCGTCCTTCTGGGCGAAGATCAGCGCGTCCAGGCCCTCGGAGCCCGACTCCTCCATGCCCTCCAGGCAGAAGCGGACGTTGACGGGGACTTCCTGGGAGGGGGTGGTGAAGGGGGCAGTCAGCGCACATGGATTTTATTTCTTAGAACAGACAGGAAGCCACCAAGCGTTGTGAAATCGTGCATTTCAAATACCCGACTGACTTTCCCCGCGCTGACCACGGGGCGGGCAACGGGGGTTGGCAGAGACCCTCCACCCCAGCGCCGGGCTGCCAGGACACGTGCCTGGCCCCGGCCGGTCACCTGCAAGGACTGCTTCCCAGGGGCCCCCAGCCCGATCGCGCGGCTCACTCGCAGGGTTTCCTGCCAGCACCCAGCACAGATTAGGCGTCTCTGGCAAAGCTGAGCTGCTTGAAGACAGAGGCTGGGACACAAACCCGGCTGGAGCCTCCATCTGAACTGCGGTAGCCATGCTGTGCACCCCTGGACAGTGAGCGGGCGGGCACCTTCCTCCTGCACGACCCCACCCTCCACCCACCGCGGGCCCTCCTCCTCCAGAGCGGACAGCGACTCTGAGGCGTCACCACCTCCTGCTCTGCTCCGGGGGTTTCCAGGTCTCCCCGGTGCTGTGCCCTGAGGCGGGTGGCCCCCTTCCACAGGTGAGACCATGGAGCTGCACCTGAGTGAGCTGATGCTAAAGGCCATGGCCGGTCGGCCCACATGCACTCCACCCTGTGGGGTCCCAGCTCAGAGCCGCCCCAGGAAGCGTAGCTCACCACACGCCCCGCCCCTCCGCCTCTCCAGGGGAACAGAGGTGAGCTGGGGGCTGGGTCTGCGAATGGACGCCCCTCCCCTCGGCCACCACAGACCCCAGGGCCCCTGAGCACAGTACACTTGAAACCTTTTCAGATCTACCCCTCCAGTCCTGAGAAGAACGCTTCTTATCTCATCGCAAGATAAGAGCAAGATGCAGAAACTGTCTATACGTTATGATCACAACTAGATTAAAAAGAATTCTTGAAAAGATGGGTAAGTAAGAGAATAACAGGAAGTAAGGGGTCTGTCCGCTATCACAGCCTGGGTCCCCTGCAGGTGAGCACCCCCTCCCCAGGCACGGTCTGTGCCCGGAGCTCTCGCCTCCCCTGCTGGCTGGGTCCCTGTTGAGTCACCAACAGGGTGACCTTAGAACAACCATAAACCAGTGCATCTTCAGTGTTTCCTAAAACTAGAAAACAGGCTATGAAGCGGAGCGTGGCCCAGCTGCGCTGATGCCGCTCGGGGGATGGGGTGGGTGGGGAGTGTGATCTTTGATCTTTGGCTGCTCCGGGAACAGATTGCTCCACGGGGCCAAAGGCCACATCTGGTGCGGAAAAGTGAAGGTTCAGAGATGAAGGTGGGGCGGGGGCGGGGGTCGGGGAAATGCTGACGCTTCCCCTAGAGTAGGGCTGGATTCAGGTCCGGGGCTGGGGGCCACGCTGGCTCAGTTCAGGCCAGGCTTCCTGGGAAAACGGCAGCAGGTGCGGGAAGCCCAGCGTGCCCAAGGCCATGGAGACCAGGCTCTGCCGGGAAAGTAAGGCTACCCGGCGTTTCAAGAACCGAGCACAGACGTGAAGCTTCCAGAACCTGATTTCTAGGTTCCGTGAAAATAGCTAGTTCTGGAAAGATGGCAACCAACAGGCCAGGCTGCACTTCCTGAAGCCTGAGGTCACAGGCCCCCTCCTCCAGGGAGCGGCGTACCGTCTCGCTCCACCAGGGTGAAGGGCTCGCTGTCCCAGCCGTCCTCCAGGGCCGCTGGCTGCACGTCCAGGTGGCCATAGATGCACACCGTCTTCTTCTGCGGGTCGGAGCCCAGCTTGCCGAGTAAAATGGGCGGAAGCGGGATCTTGGAGCCATCCGGGAGCTGGGGGGTGGGGAGGGGAGGCCATGGGGGATGGTCCTTGGTCAGGGAGTGCGGTGCTAACCCCAGTCTCCCATACACAGACAAGGTAACGCATGAGAACCCGCTGTGGCGTGTAGCGGACTCTATTCAGTGCTCTGCGGTGACCAGAAGGGATGTATGTGACCTACAGCTGATTCACTCTGCTGTACGAGAGAAACCAACACAACGCTGGAAAGCAACTACACACCACTTTCAAAAAAAAAGGAGAGAGTGGGGTTTACAGCAGGTGCTATCAGCATGCCCCGGGCAAGTGTATCTGTTCTCATCAATCACCCTCTATTGCAGAGCTCAATATCACATCATTCCACTGAGTTAATAATTAACAAGAATATATGCCCCCATAATCCAGAGCACAGTGACAATTATGTTTATAACCGTAGGCAACCTGCTCAAATTTTAAAAAATGATCTTTAAAAGTGCTCAGTTGAGTCCGACTCTTTGCAACCCCATGGACCACAGCCCGCCAGGCTCCTCTGTCTGTGGGACTCTCCAGGCAAGGACACTGGAGTGGGCTGCCGTTTCCTTCTCCAGGAAAAATACATTGCTAAGGTGTGCGTGCTCAGTTGGAACAGTTTTGCCTGTTTTAAAGTAACAACTCTTAAAAATTATTTGCCACCTAGTTTTTTTTTTTTTTTTTAGCNATTAGGAAAAAGGGAGAGGAAGCAAGACAAGTATGCTCCTAACAGAAAACACCTCCAGGAATACTGGTCTGTCCTCTCACAGTGAGGAGTGGGGAAAGTGCCAGGAAGTTGCAAGATATCTTAAGTAACCTTAAATTAACTATTAAGTCTGTAGTCAGCAGAAGCCTCACACGCAAACTGGACTTGGAATCAGAAGGCCCAGACTGTAACCTCCTTTGCCATGGACCTGCTACTGCTTCCCAGAAAGACAGAGCCTGTCTGAGCCTCTGGGTCCTTCCATTTATGAGAAGAGCAGACCAGGCTGCATGCCCACTCCTAAAATCCCAGGATTGTGATTTCAAAGGACACATAAATCATCAGACAAGAGAACCAAGATAAACCAAACCCAGTCAGCCCTGCAACCTAAAGGAGGATTACAAACGCTGAAAATGCATGGCACGAAACATGTAGTTAACACGGGGCTGACAGCATCTGAAACGAAAACAGCAGAATAGGGTACCACACAGTGATATCACTCATCCAAGTTAGAATCTGTCAGATTCCTTCATTAAAACACAACTGAGCCCTGTGCCCCACACCTCAAGTCACTCTTTCCCAGGAACCGGGTCATGAAAAAAGCACTGTTTTATCAATCGTGACACTGGGGACACAGTGGGTGTGAGTGAGTGGACATCTTCATTAGTTTTGCAGCTAATGGGCAGAGTGTACCTTCCTGGTCTGAAGGCTGCCTGGCTCTGGGGAAGGAACCTCAGCTCATGTCGGAAGGACCATTCTGTTCACTTCCTCTTGGATAACCCTCAACAGTTCCCCTCCCTGGAAGAACACAATGGGTATCGTGAATCTCAGTCCACTCTGACTCAAGAAGCCACCCAGTTTAGCATCCAAGTCAGGCCACCTTTGCTTGTTTGAAAGACCAGCGAGTTGGGCTTCCCTGGTGGGTCAGTGGTAAAAGAACCTGCCTGCTAATGTGGGAGACATGGGTTTGGTCCCTGGTCCTGCAAGATCCCATGTGCTTTGGAGCAACCAAGCCCGTGTGCTACAACTACTGAGCCTGTGTCCAGAGCCCAGGAGCCAAAACCACTGAAGCCCGTGCATCCTAAAGCCCGTGTTCTGCAGCCAGAGAAGCCACTGCGGGAAGAAGCCTGTGCACCTCGACTCGAGAGCAACCCTGCTCGCTTCAACTAGAGAAGAGCCCGCGCAGCAACCAAGACGCAGTGCAATCAAAAATAAATAAATACATAAATTATTAAGAAACAATAAAGGCCAGTGATTTATCTGCAGCAAAGCCTTCAGAACTTGTGAGGACCTGCCGAGTCCTGCCAACCCCTCAGTAAAGCTCCCGACCCGGCCTGCCGCCCACCTTCTGGATCCCGATGTCCACCAGCTCCATGGAGCCACCCAGGAAAGCCCCTGTCCTGGCCCGCTGCCCACCTTCTGGGTCCCAATGTCCACCAGCTCCACAGAGCCACCCAGCTGCTTGATGTCGGCGGCTGCCACCTCCATCATCCTGCGGATCTCGCCTCTCTTCTCAGGCCATGCTGACACACTCTGGATGGCCACCCATTCTGCAAGCTTCTGTGGGTGGAGAACAAGCAAAAGGGACTTGGAAAAGCTGCTCTGGGAGGGAGGAAGGTGCTCACAGGTGGGCCATCTTCAGGCCCACAGAGCTCACTCGTTACCTGTCTGCTCCATCTGGATCCCACTGCCCAGACATGGGGGAAGAGATCTGTGGCGTCTACTTTCTGTTTAAGATATAAGGACTGTTTGCACTGACCCCATATCAAGGACTATACAAAATGACAGGAGACTCATTAGCCACCAAGCATGATGTGGTTGCAAGACACGTAAGTTTTTTTTATGAAATGTGTAATTTTCATAAACATGTTTATATCTGATTCTGACAAAATTGAAACTGGAAGATACAGAAAATACCCAATATCTTCACAGTTCAAGTTGCCTTATTTATCATCCTGAGAATGGCCACGTTCTCTAAAATAGAATTTTTCAAATGAGAACTTGAAAGATTTCACCTGAAATATGTCTACCAAAGGTGATTTTAAAGCACGGCTCTTTACGTTAACATCAAGAAACAGATTAATATATAAGATTACAGAATCATTTAAAACATGCAATGTAAGGTAGTTCTTTATATCTACCACAAGAACAGACAAAAATCCTGAATTAGCTTTGCTGTTTCTAGAAACATGTATTAAGAGTTTCTATCAAAAGCCGAAAGAGTAACTTACATACTGTAATGAGAAAGCAGAGGAAAAGACCTCTCGACAATAAACAATTTAAGTTACGTTTTTTTTTTTTGGTTGGGGGGCAAGACTTAACATCTACTCAAACATGTAACAGAGTACTGGTAACTATATTCACCACTCAGTGCACTGGATCCCCAGAACTTATTCATCCCATAACAGGTCTGAACCCTTAGGCCAAACCCTCATCTCCCCACCCCTCGGTCCCTAGCAACCAGGGTTCAACTCTCCGCTTCTCTGAGTTCAACTTTTTCAGATTCCACATATAAGTGAGATCACACTAGCGTCTGTCTTTCTCTGCCTAGACAGCATTTTTAATACTCGATTAGAACAGCATCAATCATATTAGCTCCTTGGAAGTTTCTCTGGGTCCCATGGGACTAAACTGGACCTGAACAGTCACTAAACATTCCCTTACCTTAACATAGCGATCCTGATTTTCATCCACGTACTTAAACAGGGTGGTGAGGGCCGACATCTTTCAACCAGACCGCAGACCCTGGAGACTCCTGGAAGGCAGAAGAACCTGTCAGTGCTGCCTCGAGACAGGGCCCGACTGATCCCCAGACCCGGGAGGCACTTGTTCAGGATCATAAATTGCACCCCGCCCCAACAGCACGAGACACGGCCGTCACGAGGGCTCCAGGAAGTGACCTCAGCAGAGACAACGGCTCGGGAAAGCAATCAGAGAGGCTCAGGCTGATCTCCATTCTTTCTTTTTTTCTTTTTTTTTTTTCAGAAGGAAACATACCTAGGAATTGTGTGACAGAATGGCAGGTAACTGAAGCAAGGGACTGAGTTGAAGACAATCTGATATAATTAAAAGCAGGTACTTTCCAGGAGTACTGATACACCACTGTTCTTAACACTTTTTTAAAAAATTTAATCTTACTCTCAAAGCACACAGAGAACTTGCCACTTACTATTACCACAGAGGAAAGAATCACTCCAAGGCGCTCAGCAAAAATGTCACATGTGTCCTTATACCGCAAACCAACAGCACAGCACCCAAGATCCAAGGAGAGGGACGTGGGTTCAGGTTAAGGAAACTGAAAGCCCAGGTCCAGAAACGGCCAGGACAGCGTGTGAAAGTCCACCAGGGCCTGATGAGGGAAGAGAAACGTCCATCTCCCCAGGTGCATTTTCGAACGTCCAGCTTCTGTGTGAGACCAAACACATCCTGCTCCGCCTTACTGACACAGGGGAGAAGGTGCCATTTGACTCTGCATCTTTAAAAACTGGAACCAACGCGAGATAAAGAAAATTCCAGAACTGGGACTTTCAGAGGGGGTTCCCCTCGCTCCTTCCAAGTAACAACTCAGCTTCCATCACATGGCAAGGTTCAAGCCTCAGCAGTGACTGAGAAGAGCTCAAGGACCAGGAGCAAACTCAGCACCGCAGAGACGGGAAGGATTTTAGAACTGCAGCTTAGAGTCAGAAGACCCTGCCAACTGATCTCTGGAGAGAGAGAGCAGACAGGCACCCATGTATGGACACACTGTAGTTAAAGAGTATCTTTTTCTCAGTTTAGGACTTTGCAGTCATTTCTAAACAGAAAGAAGTGAAAGTATTACCTGCTCAGTCCTGTCTGACTCTTTGTGACTCCATGGACTGTAGCCCAACAGGCTCCTCTGTCCATGGGATTCTCCAGGCAAGAATACTGGAGTAGGTGGCCATGACCTTCTCTAGGGGATCTTCCTGACCCAGGAATTGAACCCTGGTCTACTGCACTGTAGGCAGATTCTTTACCGTCAGAGCCATGAGAAGCTCTAAACAGACGAGGGACTTAATTCAGAATCACAAAGTCTGGCAGCAGACGGTGGGTGTGCAGTGAGGGTTCAGTAAGGAAAACCCTCTTCCAACATCAGCGACAGAGCACACAGATCTCCCAGCTCTTCTTCTTCTTTTTTTTTTAAACCAAAGGAGAGTAAACAGAGACCAGATTGTTCAGCACGGCCTGCCACCTCACCAGGCCGGGTGAAAAGCTACTGCTGTTCTGAACTGCTCACCCAGGGGGGTGGGGCCGAGTCCATTTCTCCCTCCCACTCACAGTTCGAGTTTTTCCTGTTTCACTACTGCCAGCACCAAATCCATTAAGTAGGACCACTTTTATATGTCCTGGTGAACCACACTGAGGAGGGTAAAAGTCCTGAGCTGGAGGGAATAAAAGCAAGTATTACCAAATCGAAGAGTGCCAGGCACACCGCACTCTTGGAATCTAAGATTCTAGGGAGAAACAGCCTCGGCAGTGAACTAGTGTGAGAGGAAGGAGTGACAGGGTAGCACCTGGGACCATCCAGTGACACCCATGAAAGATTCCTTCAGATATGAGTGCCCCATCCTGTCCCGCATTAACTCAAGACTCAGGAAGAGACTTAACACACACCAGAGTCGTGGCTTTAAGTCTGCGTAAAACCACTAAAACGGGGCGGAACCCTCTAGTTTGTCCAATCGCAAACATACAGGTCTACAAAATGACCCTCGGCCACTCCTCCCTGCCAACACCAGGGACGACAAAGGCATGCAGAAACCTCCACCAGATCGCTGAGTCAGCACCAGGATCCCGTGCGGGCGGCGGGGGCGGGTCGGAGGCCCTGACCGCGAGGATCAGGGTCTCAAGGACTCAGTGTAGGCCGACCGGGAACCAAGCATCACCGCACCTGACCGGTGGGAAGGCGGACGCTGCCTCAGAGCAACCTTCCGGCCTCAAGTGCGGGCGGGGGGCTAGAGACCCCCGACTACGGGCCTCTGCCCCGCGGGCGCAGCACCCACCTTCGGCCACCGCCAAGGGCTCCGCGGGGAGAGCCAGGCTTTCATTCTTTGCGGGCCTCGCCGCGGGAGGGTCAACAGGCCGGCGCGCCCCCCGCAGCCCCAGAGCCCCGACCCCCGAGCTGAGCGGGCTGCGTTTTGACCCAACACCCTCTCCTGCCATTTGGGGCGGGCCGGCATCAGCGGCTCCCCAACCACGCCCGGCCTCCCCTGCTTCTCCAGAGGCGGCCCACGGCCCCACATCCCGGCATCGCGCCCCGCTCCCACCACCCTCAGGGGCCTCTCCGCCCGGAGAAGGCCGCTCACCCGCCCGCAGCTGCAGCGCCGGTTCCGCACCACGTGTCCCGGCCACGCCCCCCGGGACGGGCCCGCCCCCGCTGGGCCCGCCCCCGCCCGCCAATCCCGGATCCCTTCCGGAAGAGCCGGCGTCGCCCCGCCCCCGCCGCCGTGCCGTCCATCAATCCTGGGCCTTTCTGGGAATAGCGTCGCCCCGCCCTGCCGTCGCCCAGCCCTTCACCGCGCGGTACGTGACTGCGGCGGGGCGGGGCTGAAGCCGGGGAGGCGGGGCTGAAGCCGGGGAGGCGGGGCAGGGATGGGGCGGGGCTGCAGTCGGGAAAGCGGGGCCCCAGAGCACCTGCCCGGGTGGTGACCTTCCTCTACCCACTGGTGCCTCCACGATGAGGTTTGAGAGGTGGTCTTTGGTGCAGGGGGGTCTGAAGTTGGGGCGCCCACACCCCCCCGAACCCTCAGGCTTTGGGAGAGGAAAAAATAAAACCCACACATCCCGCCGACAGTCTCATTCGCGCGGCCCAGTTCCTAAGGGACGTGCGGAGCGTGCCGCGGTTTCACGCTTTGCCAGTTGTTTCGCCAGTCCTTCGCCAGTACCATGACTGAGAGAGGAAATATTTTAGTATTTAAATTCAGTAATCACAGGGACTAATGAAGGAAGTAGAGCCACTTTTACTTATTGAGCGTCTGCTGTCATCTTTTTAAGCCCTCCAAGGATCCTTGGGGGTACGATTATCTCTTAGAGTGGTGGTGTTGTTCAGTCGTCCAGTCGTGTCCGACTCTTTGCGACCCCATGGACCGAGCATGCCAGGCCTCCCTGTCCTTCACGGTCTCCCGGAGTTTGCCCAAGTTCACGTCCACTGCATCGGTGATGCCGTCCAACCGTCTCATCCTCTGATGCCGTCTTCTTTGACCCAGAGATCCTGCATTGCAGGAGAGTCTTTACCATCTGAGCCACCAGGGAAGCCTACTATTAAGAGACATTTCTAAGTATAAAGACAGGTCAACTTAAAAAGTATCAGCAGATACATGCTTGACTTTATCTTACAATATATAAACAATACATTAGAATATGTAATGAATCCATACACCTTTTCCAAAGGAATACCCAAGACGGAAGTAGCAATAAAGTTATAAATGACATTCATCCATCAGATGAAATAATTTAGATGAAGCTTTTCTCTGTACAAAAGATGGGGACTGGGCAAGTGGTCAGGAAGGAAATATAATGTGCTTTTAACTTTGTATGAAAAATAATGTTCAGTTCCACATTGCTGAACATAGTTCTCTTTTCGCCAAATAAATCCTCTACTTCAAGTTACTGTCCAAAAGCTTTATTAAAACCCCGCATCTGGCCTTTGTTTTGTAATATGTTACTTTTGTTGCCACCTCCTGATCGCTGCCCTCTGGAGCTTCTACTTCTTTCCCGCTGTTCCCTGACACCTCAGTCGCCCTCGCGCTGTCCCCTAAAGCCTCGGTTGCCTTCCCACTGTCCCCTGACACCTTGATTGCCTTCCCGCTGTCCTTGGAAGTTGCGATATCCTTCCCGTGAACCTTCTAGCTCTCGTTGCTCCGTGGCCACAGAAAGCTGCCAGCGCCGTGAATCATGCCACTCTTCCTGTACTTCTGTTACTGATGCAGTGGGGATATCAAAGCAAACACCCTGCTTTCCTTTGAGAAAGACCATTCCCTTCACTTTGGAATCAATATCCTCATCCATCTGCTTTTTAAGTTCTTTCCAAGCATAATTAATGTTTGGTGTTTCAACTGAGCACCACAAGATCATGGTCACAAAGCCCGCTTCTGAGTTGATCAAGGAGCGCTGGCCTACCAACATGGCACCGGAAATGTGGGCCAGGGCTGCTGCCAGGGCTTCCACAGGTCCCTTCTCCTCAATAAGCTTCTTGGCTTATTGCTTGAAGTGACCAATTGCAGTGGGAGGTACAGAGTCCAAGAGCCTGATGGCATCTTTGCTAGAAGCTTTTATTATCTCTGTTGCAGAAGGAACACCAATTCATTTAAATTTAATTCCTGCTTTTTGCTCCACTTGGACTAACTGGTATTCTTCTTTGTGCTGGTAAAAGCAGATGCAAACCCCAGTTCTCCCAGCTCTGCCTGTTTGCCCAGAATGATGAACGTAGGATTCAACATCCTTTGGTGGAGAACTTTGAACAACCAGATCAACCTCGGGGATGCCTAACCCACGTGCTGCAACATTGGTTGCAACCATAACTCCAAAATCACCATTTCTAAAACCTTTCGGGGTGATTTCCCTTTGCTTCGATGGAATGTCTCTGTGTAACGACTGGGCATCCTGTCTTATAGCCACATTCTGTGACAACTCCTGGGCTTCTTTCTTCGTTTCACAAAATATGATGCTGCACCCTTGAAAACCACTGTACACTCAGATCATGTCTCCAATAACTGCTGCCCCCTGAGTCCAGTGGCACTTGATAGCCAGATGCTCTACAGTTATTGCCATTTTCTGTGTCTTTTTACCAATCAGGTCCACTTGTTCATATGTAGATGTCATGTATTTCTTAGCAACATTATACACCCAATAGGGGCAAGTTGCAGAAAAAAGCAATGTTTGGGGATTGTCTTCTGAATCTTTCTTGTATGCTACACATAAAATCTCTTCCACTTGATCAGCAAAGCCCATATCCAACATCTGGTTAACTTCATCCAGGACAACATGCTTAAGTTTGGTGAGATCTAGCTTGCCATTCTTCAGGTGGTCTTTGATACAACCTGGTGTCCTAGTCAGAATATCGATCCCATTCCTCATGTGTTCAGTTTGTCCTCCATAGGGAGGTCCACCATAAAAACAAGCCACTGCCAGCTTTTTTGTGATGTCACTGAAGTCTCTGCTTACTTGACTTGCCAACTCCTTTGTGGGTGCAAGAACAAGTACCTGAGGGGCACGCCTCTCTTCCAGTCTTGCAGGTCTTCAAGAAGTTTCTCAACCAAAGGGACAGCCAAGGAGAATGTCTTTCCAGTTCCTGTCCGCGCCTGTGCAATCAAATCCTTCCCACGATAGACATGGTGAAACGTCTTTGCTTGTATAGGAAACAGGAAGGTCACCCCACGGGCTTTGAGAAGTTTAATCATTTCTTCAGATATGGGGAAATTAGAGGAAGCTTCTTCTTTTTGCCCCACAGTCATTCCTGCTGTAACTCACAGTTTTCTTCACTGGCAGTTTCCTTGGAGTTGTAGTTAGGTCCAGAGTCAGGGGATCCATTCTTGAGGTTGGGGCTTTTTTCTTTAATTTCTCCATTTATTTCTTTTTCTTTCGCCATCTTTTTGGGCTTAGGTGCACCCAATTCTTCCTCAGAAGGCTCTTCATTTTTTATAACTTTTTTAGTTTTAGGAGAAACAACTGTCTTTTCAAAGGGCTCCTTTGATTTTTTTGAACTTGTGGTTTTAGGAGAAATAGTGTCATCTTGAGCTGGCTTCTCTTTTTTTTTGCCTTTTTAGATTTAGGAGAATCCACGTCAACCTCAGAAGTCTCTTTCTTTTTAACCTTTTTAGCTTTGGAAGAAATCATTTCTTCCTTTTCTTCTACTGCCTCTTCAGTCTTACTAGATTTTGGCTTCTCTTTTTTACCTTTCTAAAAAATAAAGACAATGCAAAAGCTGAGCAAAGCACTGATAGTTGCATAATACATTAATTATGCATTATTTCAAGATCACATCATTATAAAAAATACAATTTGGAGGCATTTTTCAACATGTGTACTTGCACNGCTTTGGTAAAGAATTTTTAGCAACTTAAAGTAATTTCTAGGAAATGAATCCTTTACTCATATCTATTAAGTTTCTTAAAAATTAATTTAGGTATCTATAAATCAGATTATTGCTAGAATGAGACAGGATTAGGTGAAAATACAGCAAAAAGGTGATTTAGAGTAGAATCCATAACACATTACCTGTTTACTAAAATGTTATGGGCATGTGGTGAAAATTAATAAAGTCAAAGAGGAAGTAAAAAATAAATATGCATTTACAGTACCTAATTTGGCAAGAGTTAATGAAAATGTCCTGAAAATCTGAATAAAAGTTAAGAAAATGCAAATTTTATTCTTGATATTGAACTCTTTTACTGGGAAATACAATGTTAATTGTCAGAGGTGGAACTTTCCACCTCTTGCCCCTAGAAATAAAGCAAAATATGCAACAGACAGGTGGTCTTGAGTGAGGAGGTGTTCTCCAATAACATACTTTCAAACTGTATTTCAAACTGTCCCTTTGTTTGGAGCAATTTAGCACTTAGAACAGTGCCTGGTGTTGAGTGTCTGGGTCTGTTCTGGCTGCTGTAACAGAATGCCACAGGCTGGGTGGCTTATAAACAACAAGAATTTATTTCTCATAGCTCTGGAGGCTGGAAGTCCCAGCTCTAGGTGTCATCAGGTTGTCTGCTGACAGCCCACTTCCTGGTTCACGTGCGCAATATGTCTCTTCAGTTGTGTCCCCGGGGTCTCTCTGTGACCCCAGGGTAGCCCGCCAGGGTCCTCTGTCCATGGGCTTCTTCAGGCAAGAATACTGGAGTGGGTTGCCATGCCCTCCTCCAGGGGATCCTCCTGACCTCGTCTCTTATGTTTCCCACGTTGGCAGGTAGGTTCTTTACCACCTGCACCACCTGGGAAGCCTATCCCAGTTCATAGATGCCATCTTTTCGATATAACCTCACATGGCAGAAAGCTCTCTGGGGTCTTCTATTAAGGACACTAAACCCATTCATGACGGTTTTGCCCTGATGACCTTATCACCTTACAAAAGTCCCAGATACGTCCAAATACCATCCCTTGGGGTATTAGGTCTCGGCACATGAATTTTGGGGGCTCACAAACCTTCGGTCTGGGTCCCTCTGAGTGTCTTGTAAAGGAGAGCAGGAAGGCAAGAAGGAAGGTCAGCAGAGGGCGCCACTGCCGGCGGCGTCCCAGGTTTACTTGCTCTAGGAGAGAGAACACGTGGAATCGGGGCAGCTGGGAACTAGTGCCCTTAAACCTTTCTGAACCCTCCGTTCAGTCTTTTTGTGCCCGTGGGGGTCTCAGTCTGAAGACTGCGATGACCTC